TCCGATGGCACCGTGTTTTGGCTACGGTCTCGGCTTTGACATGAACCACCGCGCCTCCCCGAGGTCCGTCTCAGACGACACTCACTCGACCGACTCCCTGAAATCAACGTTGATTACGGGCAGCAACGCCAATGGCAACAAAGGAGGTTCTTCCTCCCGCAAGCGGGGACACAGCAGCCGATGCTGCAACCGGATCGAGGATGCAGTGGCAAAGATCAAGGCGATCAGGAGCGAGGGAGTCACCAGTGCAACGGCAGCCTCCTCCCCGACAGCGGGAGCGCCGGCGGACGATAGCGCAACGCCGTCGCCCGGCTACCATGACTCGTTACACTGCGACTTCGGAGAGGGCAACGGTGAGGTCGAGGGAGACGTCGGATTGATGTCTTCACCCCCAAGCAGGAGTCCTGGCAAGGACGACGATGAGATGGGTGGAGGAGACGGTGGTGGCAGCCAGCATAACCAGAATGATGACCCTTTGTCGCGCCAGTTTTACTCAGTGCTCAACCGCCTGAACACATCCGGCTTGTGTGGCCTGTCGCCGTTCCTCGACGCTTTCATGTGCCCTCCGAAGTACACATCGGTGTTCCCTCCTCAGCCTACTAACCCTAACTCCTACAAGCTGTTTCTGCAGAACACCGTCGACTTTCCGTCATCGCTCATGTCCATGCACCCCGGCGCCGGACTCGCCTTTTCGTCGGCCACCGCCTCCCCGTACTTATCCAAAGCCGCTGCAGCCGCTTACAATGCCGCCGCTGCCGCAGCCGCCGCTCGTCCACAGCCGCCGAAAGGGGGTCACGACGGGATGTCAACCCCGCAGGGGTTTCGTGCTGCCGGTCCAAACAACGGCCAGTCGACGGCGCCCGTTTTCAACCCTGACATGATGTCCACGGTCAACGTCAAGTCCGAATACTCTGACTGTCCTATCGATCTGAAGACCTCCCAACACCTACTGGATTCTGGTAAGTAGTCGTCTTTCTAAGCGTAAAGTATTAAACATTGTTGTAGCGTAAAGCTAACCGTCGCATATGTTCATCAATCAGCAAAACTTTCGACAACCAACTTAATTCGTCAACAATCTGCATGCTTTATTTCACATATTTCTTCTTCCTGCAGCTGTTTCCTCATTCATATGCCGTTTCCTTTTAAATAAGGACATAATGGAGTCAGCAACTTGTGATCTGAATCTCACAAACCTCCGATTATCTTCAGCATGGCTTGAACGCAGTTAATTTAATAAATTGCTCGCTAATGCCGCTTTGGCGAAGATGCAGAAGATGCTCTTTTTTGTGTCCAAAATTTTCGAGATATTTGGGGATGACGGTGAAGGATAACAACGTTTGAATGAACTTCTTCTAAAGAGAAGGGAGAGAAAGATTTACGATTGACTTACCCCCCAATTGAAAATTCGTCTTGAAAATATCTGATCGCTTATTATTTATCGCTTGATCCCTCGTCTTCATAGATCTTGACCGAACAAACAGCTTCCAATAATTTTAGCCAAAAGATCCATGCCACAACGAATTTCGCAATTAAGCAGTAGAGGATAACGGTTGCAAGGGGAAAGATTGTGAATTTCAGTAGAAGATATCCTATTTTTCAATAATCTAAATTCGTTATTGGACGCTACAAGAGCAAAAAATAAATTTTGCATGATAATGGATGAGATACCTTGGAAATAAACCCGATCATTTACTAAAAAAATAAAACTAGATTCCAAAACGGCCCATGAAATGGTATCCAGAAAACGACCTTTTATGATAATGATTAAATTCAGCATTTTGCACACCACATATCCTAAAGAAATTGTTGATTTGTCGTCAGATATTCATTTTAACCACATTCATTTCAACATTCATTTTTATTCTGGGGTTTGCTAACTAAAAAATACCAAAGAAACTCCTAAGAAATAATTCTAGAAGTGAGTCTAAAATACTAAGAAATCATTTTTCAAATGAACTCTTCGATGCCGTGTCTGTGACATATGCGAGTATGCAAGGAGCAAACGACTCCATGACATTTGAGTTGTGGATGGTTGGAATTCCTCACGGTCGTATTTGGTCGAACTGAAAGCAAGCTCAAAACAGAAACGAAAATACCATGTCAAAGCAGAGAAATAATTCATATTACTCAAAAGCAAAGAGTTGATACCTGGACAAATTCTTTACGGAAATTTACAGAGCTTTTGAAATCTGAAACTATCTTCTGTTGTTGACCTCTCTTCGCACAGGAATAGTGCATACTTTTATTATGTTCATGTGAAGGTTACTGCCGCCGTACTCCGAGAGATTTAGGAAATTTAATGGCACTCTTCTAATCACTGGTTGCAGGTGGCCATATGATTAGTCGAAAGACAACAGATTTTTGATAAATTAAAGCTTCAGACCATCAGGACTTCGTCAGGGGTTGACAATAAATAAAAGTAAAAACTAGCCGAAACTACTGATAGACTTGAAACAACAGATTTCCATCTCCATTCAGAAAGATTACAATGTAATATTTGCGATTGCTTCACGTGACTGGCCGTTAAAAGTGAATTTAGCTTTAATAATATTACTTCCTCACTGATTGAGACTGCAGTTTCAAGCGCTATATATATATATCGTCACTTAACGAAGGCTAGATCGGACCACGTGAACGACTTTATCCCATTTCTGCCTCATTGCATCTTTTGCAGATGTGAAGAGGAAAAAAAACCGGGTTATCCTGTTAGAAGCTAAACAGAGGTCATTTACCCCATCCCATTAGTTTATCGTGTGGGAACCGAAGAATCTAGACATGGTCCAGGAGATAGGCATGTAGCACTGAGCAATATGCCTGAGATAGATCTGCTTTAGAAGATGAAGATTTTTTTCTACAATGTAATATGCTGCGGCACAAAACTGTAGTTGAAAAACTGCGAATACAGCGGATATGACAAAGCAGAAACGTCGTGCATTTACTAACGGCTCAAGATGATGAACTCTCAAAGCACCTTCAGGTTTAGATTCGTCTGTCAACTCGGATAAAAGAAACTGAGTTCGATGAAGTATATCGCATTAAACAACTGACAGTACTGAACAACACCGGGAGATGGGAAAAGTAAATTAGCCTATATGAGAAGTCACGATTTGCTAACCGTCTCCGATCCTCTTCTAAGGAAGATAACAGAAAAACCGTCTTTGCGATCAAATTCCATAGTTTTTTAGGTGAGGTGCGAGTAGAGGCAAAAAATGATGCAAAAGAATCTGTTTCACCCCCTTTCCTGGGAACGAATTACGTGTTGTCTGCGAATACTTTCATTCGAGCTAACTACGGACGTAGAAGCCTCCTCATAAGTCCGTTTACAAAACGCCGCTTAGGCTGCATTAGACGTCGCAGAAATCTCATTCAGTCCTTCAGATGAGCATGCCGCAACATACGTTAGTAAAAACTCATTACTTGTATAGATCTACTTCTATGAAATGCATAAGCAAATGTCAAAGTCATACAAATTTGGCCCCTGGTCGTTCATAAAAGGCGAGGAAAATTCCTCTGGTTTGTTATTCGGCACCTTGTGCCAATTTCCACACCATAATTAAAAATTATGTGGCTCTGCATTGGCATCTTTTCCGGTTTTAGACACATCGGTTATGCCTATGCTGCATGCTGACATCTGAGTCTCGGGGCGGTAGATGCCTGGTAAGAATTTTCCATGTTTCATAACTATGTGCAGTGCGCCACACGTATTTCTAGTTATTTCAACACATGTTATTCTTCCGTGTTTTTAATAATTTTCGAGAAAATTCTTCCTGATTAGCTTGATGTTAACGTGACAATCTCTAAGTTTTAGCTTCATTTAAAGGGTTTAATTTTCATAGCTTCGTCACAAGCCTTTCGCTGTGCGTGTTTCTTTGGATGTTCATGACTGTGGTCAAGAAATCAAACATATGTTGTCTTTGAACATTGGTTCATGGTGCATCGGTTTTGTTCAGCAGTCCAGAAGATCAGCGACTCGTTATTCGCCGATTAGCACCTTTTTCCTGCCCTCTTTAAATTCTCAAG